TAACGTCAAAAAGTAGTGAAGAAGTTGCAGAAGCTTTTAAGAGTCTATATGATAATCCTGACAATCCTCTCAACTGGCCTCGAAAAATACAATGTGATAAAGGTATTGAGTTTATGGGAAGCATAACATTGATAATGGATGAACATAATGTTAACATTCAAAGGATTATAGCACGTTTCAGTCATACAAACTTGGCTATAGTTGATCATTATGCTGGATTATTCGAGTTTAGAGTTTTTAAAAATCAGTATTCAATAGAGTTTCTCTTACCTATTAGTGAATGTTATAGGGAATGTAAACGATTTGCAAGAAGAATTGTTGATAATATGAATGATACCCCAACTCGGTTAATTGAAATGAGTTCTAATGATGCCACAAAATTTGAGCGGATGTATTCCAATCTATTAGTAAAATATAATTGCCCAATAGGCATTAATGAATCTCAACTACCAAAGGGTATTACTGTCCGATTCTTACTTGCTAAGGGAGAATAGAAAAATGATCCTTTTAAATAATGCAGAATAATAGATCCAATATGGTCTCTCAGCCTTCATAAAATCTAAAAAATTGTTATTAGAAAGAATCCTCTGATGCCTATTTTATATTATTTAGATGATTCAGCCTCAACGTTCTTTTGTAAGGGAACAATTAATACATATTAAAGAAAAGCCAATACTTCCTCCTAGGTGAATATTGAAAGATAAGCGAATACATACAAAGCACTTTTTATAAAAGTTTCTAAGTTTATAACGTAATAAAGTATTGTAATAAGGATTACTCCTTCTTTATAACATAATGCCTTCTTTTTCCAATCATGCTAAATTTGCGCATCTATATTCATCTATCCTTCTGGATAAAAAAAAGGTATGATTTAATAATGTTGGTTGCCATTATATTCAAAGGCTAAACCTAGTTCTTTATTGTATTCATCTAGGTATAAACCTTCTAAAAATTTAGGTTTTTAAAGTGGAAATTTTTTATTTAATAAATCTTCGAATATATATCAACATGTTCTTTCTAGTACATTAGGGTAAATATTACACCATTTATGATTCTGTTTCATATTTTTATATGGCATCTCCCATTAATGGCCTTTTTTACATATCCATAAATAAATGTTAGAATTACTACTAACTCTAGCTAAGCATCTTCTTTCACGTTTCTGAGCATAGGTTAAAGCTTTGGTATCAGTTCTATTATAATATTGCATTTTATAGACGCAGAATAATTGATCTAAACAATTGCAAATCCAGATTGCTAGTTCAGAAGTAGAATTAAACTTGGCTACTAATATTGCATAAGCAAAAAAAGATAAATATCTCCAGTATTTTTAGCAGAAGTGGGATCAGGTTTCTGCCTCACATCAATGTCTAGAACAAGACGAAGAGGCAGGTTACTATCAATACATTCATGAGAATCAGGTAATCCATAAATTTTAGATAGATGATCAACAACTGTGAAATCCTTTCCAGATACTCGAATGATATATTTATCAAAAATCTCTTTAGGATGATAAGCGCCTAAAAGAGCTATATCATCTTTCCTATTAGTTTCTAATAAATGTTGAAAATATGTGTGATCATTATAGCCTTACTCAAAATTAAGGTTTGCTACATCTGAAAAGAACTTTATTACTTTATTTATTTTTTCGAGATTAGGTTCGAAATTTTTTTGTGTAAGTAATATGGTAGTATATACAAGAAAGCAGTATAAAATTACATAGAAAACTGTAATCTTCAAAATAAAAATATATGTGATTTTAGGCGAATATGTTTGCTGATAAAACATTGGATTAGAGGTAGTATTTAAAGTAATCAATGTAGTATTACCCAAAAGTAATTGAGGCAGAAATATCCTAAAGTATTCCAGAGTGGTAATTATATAAGAAAGAGTTCTAGGAATGCAGGAGTGTAAAATAAGATATAGATTTAGTAATACACTAAAGATGGTTCCCATAATTATTTTAAAAATTTTTAACTAGTTGCAACCAAGTTGTAACTCAAATTGTAACTTACTGAGTTGCAATTTCTTAATTATGATGCCCATCTTTATAATACACCAAAGTAGAATTATATATAGGAAAGAAAATAAGAAATTATACTTTGGTGTATTACTAGCGATAGGCAGGAAAGTGGTTGGGAAGGCAAAAACATACAAAATATTGGTGATCCAGATAAGCAGAATTATATATAGAAAAGAGAGAATAAATTTTGTGTATCTGGGTCACCAACCAAAGATATCCTGAAGTAGTAACTATACAGGAACACGGTTTAGAAAACAAAAATATGCAAAACAGATGTATAGCAAGATGAAAAAACTTGTGAAAGAAAGTATTTTCGATAGGTACCATTGAGGGTAAGTAACTTCAGTATCTATATATAAAATAATAGAACTTGCTTACCCTAATACTAGTATGAAATCAGATATATGTATGACGAACTTAATAAGTAAATTGTAGAAGAAAGGCATCTAGTTGTATCTGAAAAATGAAGGGGAGGGGGTAACTTCAGAATATTATATAAAAAATGGGCAACCAAATAGGCCCATAAGCAGAAAACAATTGGATAGCTCTTTAGAAACAAAAAGAACGCAAAACATTGTAAACACATGGATAGTTTCTTGATAATAAAAAAAGGATAGAGCAATAAAATCAAGCAAATAGCTACAAGGCAATAAAAAGGCCACAAAGCAATGAAAATAAGCGGATAGCTACAAGGCAATAAAAAGAACACAGAGCACTGATAATTGTAAGAAGGTAGCAATTTACTCATAAGTAGGCAACAATTTAATGCAAGTAGGTTGCAATATATATATATTGCAACCTACTTATTAATAATTTTTAAAATATTAAATTTGCTCTATAGTTTGATCCTTTGAAACTTAATATAACTCGTTTTAAAGTTTTGTTTTATTTTAGAATTATTGGTTATTAAAGCTATATATCTAATTTAAGATAGAAGTTTATAAATCATATAAATACCAATTTTATTTAGAAAACTACTTTGTCTTAATTTAAAGTTGAAGCTGTAATTTAATTTTAAAATTTTTATCTAATTGCAACTATTTATGAATTTTTATATTAAAATATATTTTTATAAGGAGTTGCAATCAATTGCAACTTCTTAATTACAATATTATCTTTAGTCTTAATTGTCTTAACTATTTAATGAAAAGGCTCTCATCAGCAATTTATTAATATATAATTGTATTATTTTATCAAAACCCAAATATACTTTATTATTATTTATCAACAGCAAGTTGAAGAAGTTGAAGAACTTTTTAACAAATTAGATCTAAAAAAAATCCTAACTTGATATTATCAATCAGCAGTCTAAACACTATTTGTCTTCTGACAAAATTGTTAAAGAAAATTTCAGAAAGATTAAAGGAAATAAATTCAAATTTAAAGAAAACTCCACTTCAAGAAATTTATTCCTCACAATTTGGACCTGATATTGCTTCAAACCTTTTAATAATTTTATATGTTAATAATTAAACTATATAATTTGTTGTTTATTATAATTTTTTATGATAATAATTTAAAAAAATTATTTATACTACATATAGTTTTGATTTATATAGTATATCGAGCACCCCAGTTTTTTAACTCCTCATAAAATCAACAAAAGGGTCAGAACCATCCAAAACAATCCTCGATCAATGATAGAAAAGTTATTTTAAAACTTTAAATAATTCCAAGATATTAAAACCGATTTTTTGCGAGAAACAAATTGGTTGATCACGATAATATATAAAAACTATATTTATTAATTTCTACTATTCCAATAAAATCCAAATTTTACATTTAGATGCTAAATAAATAATAACATTATTTTTTTAATATAAGTTATTTGGGTTCCCCCAAAAATCCCGTCAACCATATTCCTGACGGTCTAGAATCCCGACATCATAATTCTGAATAACCCAAAAACCCGACATCCAAAAATCTCGACAAGAGCATAATCCCGATGATTCATAAACCTAACAAACAAAAAACCCGAATAGTTCAAAATCCTGATAGCAAAAATCCTGACATATTAGGGTTAGGACTAGGATATGGAATTAGGGTGTGGATTAGGTTATGGATTAGGGTTAGTTAGTTAAATATCAAATTTAAGATTTGTTAGGATTGTTTGCTTATCAGGATTTATGCTTATCGGATTTTTGTGATTGTCCGGATTCAGGTATTCATGAGCAGTGATGGCTATTGGACCAATTGGACTTATAAAAACTCCGTCATTTGGACTATTGGACTTAATAATTTTATAAGTCCAATAGAATTCAATTTTATTAGACTTATAAGTATAGCCAACACTGTTCATGAGTGTCAGGATTGTAGATTATCAGGATTATGCTGTCAGGATTCTAGACTGACAGGATTATGGTTGACAGGATTTCGTGATAAACCCGTTTATTTACAGCCATATTTAATTACAAGAAGATAAATAAATATCCACTTCTGATGCTAAAGTTGTTAACTTACTAATATCTGAATCTGTTTTCTCTATGATCATCAAAAATCTGTTGCACTAATCATATGTTTTCCATGATCATGAAAAAGGAAATAAATAGGTATCATCAATCATTTCTAATTGTTCAGTTCTGAGATATGGAACTCCCAACATTTTGAATGTTTTAGACTTGTCAAGAAACTTACCTAAAGAAAAATAAAGGTTTTATAATCATGTAATTTTTAAACTCAATTAATGAAAATAGAATGTTGGAGTATAAGGAATGGAAAATATGAAATATAATATATTGTAAACGATATAGCAAAAAAATAATAAATGAAATGTCAATAAGTGAAAATAATTTATGTATTTTTTTTTTATGCAATAGATTCATTACTTTTTCTTTTTGCTTATATCAACTACCACATCTTCATCTAATTCCCCAATCCAGCTTAGCTTCTCTTTTTCTTTCTTCAAGTAATCAAAATCCCCTTTCTCTCCTCTCCACAACTTTTTATATTTCCTTCTTCAAACTCATTCAACTTTCTCTTTGCCAATTCATGCTCTCCTTCCGCCCTTTTATGTCTTCTAATTTCATCGATGGCCGCCATTATAAAATTGAAATTTAAAATTGAAAAATTATTGATTATAATTCATTCGTAAAACAAATATTCGATTAACCGGATAATGAAATCCGTTAAGCCGCCATTGTGTAACCAAATTTGAATTTTGTTTAGTTGGTGATCATATTCTGATTGGCTGTTGAATTATTTCAGAATAAACCTTACAATTTGCATAAACAAAAGGATTTATTCATTTATATTAAAAAGAAAAGGTACTGTATAATTTTATTATCGTTAATGTATGCTGAAACATTTTATTGAAATGCGTGAAAATAAATGATGTGGTAAATTAATGATAGCATTTTTATGTCAGATTTAACTTTTTTACTTTATTCCATGTGGACAAATTTTCAAGAACTTTTTTAAAAGTAATGGGAATATTAAAAATTTTAAAACATAGTAAGTAATATTAGCTCGAAGGTGACTAAAGATGAGGGACGAAACTCAAAAAAGGCAATTAATAAACAGCCGAAACTATATTAAAACATAGTGAAGGGTACGACGAAACCCCGAAACCCGAAATTAGCCGAAACTATATTAAAAACATAGTAAGGGATATGACGAAATTATTTTGAGGGAGTTTCGGCTGGCATCTTTAAAGGTGACACAAGATGTCGTCTGTCCACTCGCTTAAAAATTGAGATTGTTCCCTTTCGCTTTCGTTACACTTGTGCTCCGGATTTAACAAAGGCTTCCGAACCATTCCCTATCTATATAATTTGGAATAGTTGATTAGTATGACTACGTAGGTTATTTGGATTTGACTTTATTGTAAAACTCACCTATCTAAATAATTTTTTTAAAAAAAATCGCTGTTCCATAGCATCTCTTTTTAAAAAAAAAATCAGCTTCCGTAAAATCATTAAATAAACAAACATACGTCGATCAATTGGTTCAGTTGACACCTTGTGGCAGAGTCGTCATTCTAAGTATTACCCGGTATTATAAAATGCATCAAATATAGCGAATTTAGTTTTATTTAATTTACTACTATAATCAATAGCAGAATTAAAATTCAAATATATTAAAGTGTCCAGAATTATGTTGTTTAATATACCATGCGTAAAAAATAATAAATTGTGCGTTTTAATCTCGACCAGAATTATTAATTTTAAAAAAGTTTTTATTATTATCGCACTGAAATTGTAAAAAAATCATTATAAATCATAATTTTTACATCATACAGTGAGACCTCTCTAAATGCACCCCATAGTGAAAATTTGAAAAAATGTGCATTTAAAGAGGTGTGCATTTAAAGAAAGAAACTTTGTATGATCTTTATATTCTGTACTTGGGGCTGTGTGGAATGTGCATTTATAGAAAAAATATATATGCGTGCATTTAGGGAGGGTGCATTTAAAGAGGTCTCACTGTATTAGTTTTATTAATAAAAGAAAAGAAAAACTACACGTTCAACATCCACACCTACGGATTATGAATTATACGTAATCATAATACTATGCGCATATGGGTTGCATTTTAATTATTATTACATTAATCAAAGGTTTCTCAGAACCTGATTTTCTTAGATCACAACCCGTATTATGGCGCAGCATAATCATTGCTCTAAATCATATTTATTATTCATTCTGTATCAGAATCATAATATCAAGATTTCTGTTCTTTTTGCTTTCTAACTTCCTGCATATTTTGCTATTTCCTAATCTCTTGTAAGTTTGCCAGGGAAATGTGACGGAACTATAAAATATCATTTCAGACGTTTTATTCCACTTTGAACATTTGAAACCTCTATTACATTATCATACATATTCTGTGCCATAAACTAAAATTTATCAATATGCAAATGTACACTATTGATTGAACGCGAGTCAGATTATTTCGTTTGTTAATCGGAGGTCGAATTTACAGCTTTCTCCGATGGAATGATGATTGGCTATGTGAATTACGTAATATTACGAATTGAAAAAAGAATCATACAAGTAGTTCTGTATAAGGATCTACACGTTCTTTGTGGAGCAAATAATCCAAATCCAAAACGCAAAAGACCTTTTTATTCAGGAGTTTTTTTTAGCCAGATTTATCAGAGTTGATTAAATAAGTACACATCTATTGATACTATCAGGCAGGACCAACACAAATATTCAATAACTAATGAAATTCTTTTCTTTTTTTTTTTTTTTTTACCATACATACCATACATACATACAACATTTGTGGAAATACAGTAATTACAAAAATGGCTAAATAATGAAATCGAGTCATTATAACAAAAAGGTTCATTTCGATTCCATTTCTTATTGCTTGGTATCAATTTTTTTTTTTTTTTAAAAAAAAACGGATTTATGTTACCTAGGAAAAGTATTCGTCACATAACGTGCTAAAATCCATGTTAGATTGGAATTCTGGTAGAAATAAAGTTCAAATAATTGAACAAGATTCTCTAATAACAAAAAGGAATTCTTTCTTCCAATTAGGTATATCTCAATAAGCATCTATATTAATAATCGCGAAAAAAAAAACCAATAATAACAGAAGCACAATATCCTTTTTTAGTTTCAATGTTGATAAATGTTTCAGATTTAAGCGTATATTGGTAATTTCATCATTTATTAAAGTTTGGTTACATTATTCATATTGGTTTTAATTCATTATTTCTAGAAATTCTTTTACACTATGCTAATTATAGAAATTTTTTTTGTTGATGTATGGCAAAAATGGAATTCCATTACCATATATATCGGGTTTAGTTTTCACGGAACTTTACAACCATCTCCAATTTCTTTTTTACATAAAATTATTGGTTCCAAGGTTTTTGAACTTTATGATTCGCAAGGATTTTATCTTAAATAGGTAAAATAAAAAGAGATCATAGATTTGTTTACGGATTTTCATGTCAAAAAATCCGAATTTATCATCGTGTTTTTTTTTTTTTTTGTGAATTATTTATGAATATAGTCTTATTAATAAATTTAATAGAAAAAAGCTTTATCGTTCCTTCTCAAGCTTATTGTTTTTATTGAAAGAAATTCATTTAACCAATTAATTTCATTTGGATCATTTTTTACATGGTTCTTTTTTTTTTTGAAAAGCTCAAGTGTAACCTAAAACCTAAACAATATGGTTTTGATTAAAACCCCTTTGGTTAATGCATAAATGTTTGATATTTTTTAATTTGCATGATGATTGAGAAAGTAAGGTATAAAAGTCGGAGTTATCAACATTTCCTTACATGGATCATAGGCTGGAAATTCATTGTCATTATTGTCATTATCTAATGATATTTAAGTTTTTGTCAACGGAAGTTTACCAAATAAGATGTAATATATTTATGAACATGGCGTTAATTTTAATAATAACCGGAAAATATACTTGAATTTCATCTAAACTAAAGAACTATTATAGTAATAAATCTAAAATATCCTTGTTTGTTTCATTTAATTCAAAACAAACTCATTTAAATCTTACCAAAATGAGTTCTTTGCAGTTTTGATATATGTCGTGAATCGCATATCTGTTGTAACACTTCATATTTTATTGAAAAAACTATTGATTTCAATTTTTTTAGGAGGGTGCATGTATTTTTTTTTTTTTTTTTTGTTAGGGGCAGAACAATTGTTATAACGGTAAGGTGTGTAGAAGGAAGGATTGTGTATCGAAAAAATTTTTTTTTTTTTATTTTTAAACCATCTATTAAAAAATATATTTTTATATTATAAAAATAAGTCAAATTATTCAAACATGATTCGAACAACTTTTTTTATCGATTCATAATCATTGAAAAAAAAGTGTATAAAAGGATTCAGATAAATTCATCAATTTTTTTTAAAAATAAAAAAAAGAACCTTTTTTATTATTCATTTCTTTTTCATTTCACTTCACTTTAAAGAATGATCTTTGTATTATACGATTCTATATAGATAAAAACATAAAGATTTTTTTTTTTTTATCTTTTCACTTTTTTTGTAAATTATTATTTCTTTTACTTGTATTATAATAATCATTAATATTTGAATCATGATAAAAAAATTTAATGTTGGTTATAAATTAATCAGTCTCCTTTTGTGCACCCTAACCATAATTAATGCGCAAGAAACGGAGGATCCGCCTAGAATAGTTACTTTGCCAGGACCAAATGTTGAAGGGATACCAGCGACGACAAAAGTTGGAACTTATCCTGATAGTGATTTCACTAAATTATTATCTTATTCACTTTATTTTTACGAAGCGCAACGAAGTGGTATCTTGCCTCCAAACAATCGAGTTCCATGGTGAGTTACATTTGAATTCAGAATTCATCTTTATTTCTACTTTTTTTTTTCGTTATTGACCGCAGTAAATTTTTATGCACATATAGGCGACACAATTCTGCATTGAAAGATGGAGAAGAAGGCTTTGATCTAACTGGGGTAAGCAAAATTTATGTCAAATTATAAATATGTACTGTATATATATGAATTGTCGTTAAAAAAAAAAAAATTTATTATGAATTATTTAGGGATATTATGATGCAGGTAAAAATCATTATACCTTGTAAATCCAATATTTATATATATTCGCGTTTCTCTATTATTGACGCGTCTTCTTTCTTCTCTCTTCTCCCTTCTCAACTAATCAAAAATCATAATGTAGGGGATTATATCAAATTTACATTACCGTTATCATGGACATTATCAATGATAAGTTGGGGAGGAATAGAATGGTTTAAAGGATATGAATTATCAGGACAAGAGAAATATTTGCATGATATGGTTAAATGGGGAACGGATTGGTTAATCAAGGCGCATTCACTTGAGACCAATGAATTATGCGTTGAAGTAGGAATTGACAAGATTGATCACAATTATTGGGGTTCCGATCAGAATATTCCATTACCAAGACCCGTATTTAAAGTAGGTGACGATGTGCACGGAACCGATGTAGCAGCAGAAACCGTAGCGGCGTTTGCAAGCTCGTCAATTTTATTCAAAGATAAATTTGGGGAATTAGATTATGCCAAATTATTATTAACACATGCCAAAAGATTGTTTGAATTTGCAGAATTAAAACCTATGGATGTATATAGTAAACAAGTACCGGAAGCAATTTTATACGGTGCACGTCGTTATCAAGATAAATTGGTTTGGGCATCCCTTTGGTTATATAGAGCAACGGGTGAACAAATATATTTAAATAAAGCACGTCAATATTTCGTCTTGTTTGCAATGAAAGGTTATATGCAAATCATTAATTGGGCCGAGAAAACTTGTGCGACGTTTATATTATTTGCTCAATTGACGAATGGAACCAATTTCATGGATGAATTAACATGGAAATCAGAATCAGAAAATTATTTGGATATCATGATTAACCCCAGTCTCTTGCCTGGTAATCGATGTAGTTACACTCCCGGTGGATTACTTTGGTGTACTGGTGATAGTGAATTTAATAGTTTAAATGTTGCTTTAAATATCGCTTTCGTTTCTTTGATTTACGCTCCTTATGCTACCACTGAGGAGAAGAAGAAAAAGTATAAGGATTTCGCAAATTTTCAAATTATGTATGCTCTTGGTGAAAATCCAAAGAAACATAATTATGTGGTTGGAGTTAACCCCAAATCCCCTCAAAATCCTCATCATGCTGGTGCTCACGGTAGTGTTAATAATGATTTATTATCACCTGTCAAAACCACCAATATACTTTATGGTGCCTTGATCGGCGGTCCCGGCGTGAATGATGATTTCAATGATGATAGAACTCAATATAATTTCACAGAGGTACGGAAGAATTGTTTATGCTTGAAAGTAACCATAATAACGTAAAATCTGATCTTTTTTATAAATTTTTTTTTTTTAAAAAATAGGTATCGTTGGATTATAATGCACCATGGCAAGGATTAATGGCATATCAAGTTTTGAATTATATCCCGACAATCCCAAAACCAAAACCTCCAACGAACGAACCCAAAAAATCAAAGGACATACCAAGCTCCAACAATAATAATGTATCAAATAATGATACACCTATTGTGTCTTCTGGTCGTAAAACTGGTATAATAGTTGGTACTTCACTTGGTGCCATATTCTTAATCATTGGCGGATTATTTGCTTGGAAACATTCAACGATCCTTAAATGGTTTGGCAAAAAACGTGAGGAAATCGATAAAATTGTAAAACGTAATAATGTTGGTAATAATAGGCGTAATAGTAGTAGTATTCATGCAGAAAGTAACCTTCCACATCATATTCCGTAAACCTTTTTTTTAATCAGGTAGAAATTTTCAATATCTTTATCATTTTTAATTTTTAATTTAGAACAAAAAGAATGTTCGGCATCTGGTCTATGCTCAAGCATTTTTTTTAATTATTTAAATCATTAAAAGAAATTAAATTATACGCATTAATAAAGCATTTTCGTTTCCTTTTTCAAGTAAAAAAAATTAAGAAATATGTATTTTTTTTCGCCCTAAATTATAAAAGAACGAGCAACTTTTTTTTTAACATGCTTTATGAACGATTATGATACACGGTTTCACGTAAATAATACAAGTTTCCATTCGATAATGATGACATTCGAATATCGTGAATTGTAAAAAGTAAATCGAAAACAATTTGACCATGAATGCAATAAAATGGATGAAATTAACGAAATAAATTGCGTCAAAGTTCCTACTTTTAATTTCAAATATGGTAATCATGCACGTTTCCTTATTCGAAATATATATATACAGATAGATTTTGTAAATTTCTTATATCAATTTTTATAGGACATTTCATATTAGATGATAGTTCGTGGTTTATTCATGATATTCTTTTTTTTTTTGACAGAAACAGATAACTAACTAAGGGTGCTTGTAACATATAAATGAATAATATAATTAAAAATACTTTTTGCGCCAACAATCAAGAAAAATTGCCAAGTCTAATTAATTAATGTATGGAGGAGAAATGAATGAAAGTTATGCAAAGTTAATAAGTAAAGAAAGAAATTATATATAAAGAAATAAAACAACCAAATTTTTGAAATCGGAAATTATATGGAGTTTAGAGGAGATGATTATTTTCCTTTTTTTTTTTTTTATTTTATATTTTAATCAAATTAATGGTATATTTTTTTTTTTAAAAAAAAAAGAAAAGAAAAGGTGCCTTCATTTTCGTAATGAGAGATGTAAGCCCGAAAACCGGTCGGGCATTAAGTTTTGTTTTCTCCAATAAGGTGTCAATTTCAGTTGAGTATTAGACCTGAGGTGTATAAACGATGGGGGAAAAAAGAAAAGAAAAAAAAAGGTAAACCTTAAAGTTAACATGGTAAAGGAAATATAATTTTTTTTTTATTTACCAATCCCTCCATACTAGATTGAAAGGTGCTAATCATAAATTTTTATTAAAAATAAATAAGAAAGAAAAAAAAAAAGGAAAGAGAATTTCGACAATAATTTACAAAGAAAATGACAATAAAACTACAATAGAAAAATAAATTGATCTTCCAATCATTTTAAATTTCCGACAAATCCTCCATCAGTTTCTTCTTCTGTTCCTTGGTGATCATCTTACTCGCCTTTCTGGCCATCAATCTTTCAGTACGATATTGTTCATAAAACACCTCCAGGGTAATATCCTTGAAAAGTTTACGGTGGCTCGATAAAAGAACGTTTCTCAATACGATAAAGTCGCAATGAATTGGGTTCAAACAATCAATGATGCCCCAAGCATATTGACGTCCTCGAATCTTTTCCCCCGTGTTTGGATCCGTAATATCAGCGTCTTCTGGAGCAATAATAGAAAATGGAATTTGAGATTGAGCGTTTGCAATTTCAACTGCCATATCTGGTTCCGCTTCTTCGTCTACTGGAAATTCGAAAACAGGAATCTGGTGCGCCTTTATATCCTTTTTAATGGCATCTTTTAGGTTTGCAAGTTGTGTGTTGGTGAGCAAATCTGCTTTAGCAACTACCGGGATAACATTAACACGAGCGGTTAACCGTTTTAAAATGCGAATATCTTGTTCGGTTAAACCGTTATTTGCGTTATCGATAAAATACAGGCAAGCATGAATTTGACTATCTTGAGCTTTTGGATTCCGTTTTACTTTGGTTTCCTATAATAAAAAATAAAAAAAATAAAAAAAATAATCATAATCATCAATGAAATTGTAAGATAAAAAAGGTTATGTTAAATATCCAATTAACAATGTCAAATATTCGAAGTCTACTTTTCAATAATTATGCTAAGTCTTTTTAGGTGACGAAATTGACGAAACTAGTTTGTTTGTTTATATTTAATTCGTAGGAACCTTTTTTGCTTGCCCAATATATTTAAAAAAAACCTTATTTAGCAAATAATATTGGTGTAAAGAGAGGAGAAAAAGTAAATCAACAAACCCTATCTAATATATTAGATTGGATCTCTCAAAATTCGAGATGAATTTTTTTTTGTTTACCATTCGAAATCATAGTTGAGAATTCATTCAATTTTTTAGAACTTTCATTTGTGAAAATTCTTCATAAAAAAAAAAAAAAATTTTTTTATTTGAAATTCAATTCGAATTTCAAATAGGAACCCTTTTTTACCTCGGCTAATGTTTGATCAAATTGCGCTTCAATATATCTCAATGCTTCTGTAACCTGTACGTCAAGTCGAAGTTCATTATCCCTCACAAACCCAGGACAATCGACCAAAGTCAGCGAAATTTTTTCTCCTTCTTCTTCAATATCCAAGGTGAAAGAATACAATTCTTTCGTGCGCGCTGCTTCTGCGTCCCGCACACTTTCAGCGCTTTTGAATAAAGAAGCAGGTAGCTCCGTCTCGTCTTTTGAATTTTTACGGATGTTGAGTGTCTCAAAAAGCATTCGGATGAAGGACGTCTTACCAAGTGAACGAAAACCTACTACCATTATGTTCAGTTGGGACACGGCATGCTTACGACGACGAGAACGTGGTGACATTTTACTAGACATTTTTTATTTGATAAATAAAAATAAATAAATAATAAAGTCTTTTATTTGAGCTCAAAGATATTTCCTCGCCCTTTTTTTTAATAAAAAAAAGTTTTCGAAGGGTTATGTTAAGAGGGTGAGGATCGGTCGTTACTGGATATCTAATCCAAAATTTAAGTAGGAGTTAGGATGGTGAATATGAAGGAAAGGCGAAAGCAAGTTTAAAGGAAAGAAAAAAAACCCGTGGTTTCTTTATATATCTGATAAAACACCTTGTTTAAATATCGCGACAACAAACCAAATAAAAAAGAAAATGGAATACGTCGTGTACCGTAATCCTGTGTTTCTGTGACCTTTGGTCTAATAACCTCTGACACTTTCGTGAGCGCCCCTAATAAATGCCGTGAAACTACGTTATTTTATTGGATGATGAATACTTCGACTTTGAGTTGTACGAAATTTTTTTTTTTGGTAGAACATCTTCGGTACAACATCCAATACATAATAATAAAAAAGGTCAATACAAATTTCTGCAAGTGTTACCCTTACGCTCGTTTTATCGAATTTTTATTTTTCCATTTTTGATTATTAATTTCATCGGTGAAAGTATGAACTATTTGTACTTTATTTAATGAATACCAAAGTTTGTTTTTGTAACAAAGCAATATTGTAGTATTAAACAAAAGATAAAATTACAAAAAATTTTTTTTTCAATTTTTTTTCTTTTTTTTTTTTTAAAAAAAAAAAAAATTAAATAAATAACGCGACTGCGTTTTCTTTACGAATGACTAAGTTCGACAGCAAAACTGACGGCAAGCTAAAAAGAATCAAAGGATAATTAGAATAATCAATGGTCACCGACTTTTCTCCCCAAAAAATTGCAAATTTTTTAACCAACCTTGGAGAATTCTAGCATATGCTCAAAACTAAGATGATCGACTATATCATTTGCCGAATGGATGTGAGGATTCGAATCACTAAAATCACTTTCAATTGCAAATGCAGAGGGGAAACCGGCCTAAAAAAATAAAAAGTTAGCAAATAAGAGAGTTTCTCAATGATAAAATAATATCTTCGAATTGACAAACCTTTCTCCAAGAGGCATGGTCAGAACAAGCGTAACTAAAAAGAATGAACGAATCGAATCAATTTTCACATTCTCGATGAACAGAAAAGAAAAAAATATATATTTTTTTGTATTTTAAATAATCTTTTGCTAACCCGCATTTCGTTTCAGTATAAGGGATTTCGGCGTAAGTACCGATCAATTTTTTTATGAATGTTGTCAAATCTTCGTCTACGAAATCGATTATAATCCCAAAAGTTTCCTTCTTTTTACCAACATACCCCGTCATGTCGTTCTAGATAAATTGATCAAATTGAAAATTTTATTCAGAGGTGAGACCAAACATATTCGATCTACAAGAATCAATCATACCTGAATCATCCCAACGACATCTTTTCCTTCCTTTTCATATTCCAAGGCAATAGCTTGTGAACCGAGTAGGCCAGCTTCTTCAGCAGAATACCAATGGAATTCAACAGGTCTCTCAGGACGAAATTGCCCGGAAACTAGCACACGGAACGCTTCCAATATCGTGACAGTACCGCTTCCGTCGTCATCGGCTATTATTAATTTTTTGATATATCTTAAAAATTGAAATCGAAATTTTTTGAAAAATATTTGCAGATTATTTTTAAAAATAAATACCTCCTGGAGCTCGTCCAAAATTTGGTAACCACTAAGAGCAAATGAAAAATAATTCAACAAGAATCATTTTTTTGCAACTTTCATCGTTTTTTTTCAGAAACTCTTACCATATTTACGGAATCCTGATGGGCTCCGACAATAACAACCTGATTCTGATTTTCGGGATTACTTCCCTCAAATCTATTTAAGAAATCATAAAGATTATCAGTTTATTGATCATAAATTGTGTTAGCAAACCATCATTTTAAATCACGTGTTTCTCAATATACCTCGCAATTATTGATTTTTGCGCCCAGCTGTGTGTGAACTTGCGTACAGAAACATCAACATCGAGATTTAAATCGTTCGCGTCTTGAATTATGTCGAAAATTTGGTTATAGAGCCATTTAGAAGATTGTTCCCCGTACGAAGAACGATAATATCGATTTTTGAAGGAGGTAAATTTTATGAGGTTTTGACGCATAGTTGTAGTTGTCAGGTTTCCAATGAAAGATTTTACTTCAACTTGGAATGTAGGTACCGTTGGATACACTATGACAGAAAAAGAAACTTACAAATTTGATCTACATTGTTCAAAATTTCACAAAATTTAATTTTACCATGTTTAAGAGCGGGTTTAAAATGTGTTCCCAAATCTAAGTAATCCGTCACGTCCATGAACTTGATATTGTTCCTGAACAATATGAGGATTTCGTTCTGACTCATCCATATTGGCGATTTATCTTCGCTTGTCTGAATTAACCTAAAACCCTCAGAGAGAGACTCAATGTCATTGTGCTGATTCAGCTCGAAAGTTGATTGTACATGCCCTCGAGGCAACCCTTGAATATTAGGAACGACCAAAAGAAACACAATTGTAAATACAAGTCCCTTAGCAGAAAGAAAGCGAGGCAAGACGGACCGAACATTTTTGGATTTAAAGTTATGCATATTTTTTTTAGTGTGGTTTTAATTAGTGAAGAAGGTTTGAGCTTAAATAATCATCTAGGAAACAAAAAATATGCAAGCTTGCAGGCAGGTGACAGGTTTTGTGAAATTTGATTACTATAATTAGTAACTCTTGATAAGATGTGCAGGAAACATCTAATCCAAAATCTGGTAAAATAACTCCTTTCGAGGAAGGGAAAGAGCAGTTTTATCTTTTTATGGTTTAAATATGATAAACGTTATCAATCAATATTTCATCATCAATCTTTGGCGAATAATAACCTTGTAAAATGAAATAATAATAATAAATTTTTTATTTTAAACTATGGTATTAAAAATACAAATACTTTTGGTTTTTTTATCGAAATGAGAAAGAATATAATTTTTCTCTGAAGGAAAATGCATTATTTTGAATTATACTAACTTTTTTGTTTATCGAAATGTTAAATATTATTTGAAAATAAAACTATTCGGAGGGGGGAAACTAAATATTTACAAAAAAAAAAAATAAATGAAATGAAATGATGGAAAAAAAAAATAATTAAGATTATTTTAATACGCCATGTGTAGCGTAGTTTTTGGATTTTTTTGGGGAATGAAATTTACAAATTAAAAAAAAAATGAAAAATGAAAATTTTTTGGAGGGGAAAGGGGATATATGTAAAGTTTTTGAAATTCTAAAAAAATTTGTTTTTAAAAAAAAAAATGTCCAGTGAATAAAAAAAAAATATTTTTTTTTTATTCATTCTACTGTCGAGAAAAACAACCACAAATAACAAAATTGATTGTTGTATAAACGCCCACAATCTGAAATTTCTTTCAACAACCGATTTCGCCAACGCGCATCCAACCATCTGACAGCCATACGACAACACCTTCCTTGAATTCTTTCTTCCATATTACACCTCGATATTGAAATGTCCAGAAGCTCCACCAACACATCATAAAGATACCGGCGATAATGCTAGCAATGAGGACATTGAATAAGCCAGGAAATGATGGAAGGTCCGTTTTATAAAGAACGATGCTACCTTCGGAATTTTGAAAGGATGATGGAATAAGCCAAAATCTTGCAGCTTCCCACGTAAGCATCCAACCGGCACCGGTTCCAACGCACCATGTATAATACCAATTGAGAGTTCTTGAATAATCAAGCAAGACCAAATGTTCCCAAACGATCAAACCCCAATGATTTCGACGAATAACAAGTAAAAGGAAGAATGAAAATATTGGTAAGGTGGTCGTTGACCATTTCCCGTGCATGAGGAATGGGGCAACGTCCATAGGAGCAAGAAGGAATTCAAGTTCGAAAATGTCATCACGATTAAAGCTGTCAAAATCATCATCATCTGATGTGAGTGATCGAAAAAAAATGGAATCCGGTCTGTTTTCTGAGCGGACAAACCACAAACACATCGCCCAACCCATCCAGATTATCCAAGTTCCATATAAAACAAATGCTCGTTCCAATTGTGTCTTCTTGAAGACATTTGCAAGTAACATGGCAATGTGAAAGCAAGTGGTGCTGATGTATACTAATTGTGTGAATGACGTAAAGCGTATCCATGTTGGAGATGTGATGTACAAGGTGTAAAGATGTTGGCATATTATTAGGACGTGAACGATTAAGGTGATGGGTGTATAACTTGTGCTTCTATATAATGAAGAAATAAATGTAAGTTAGTTACGAAATCATCGGTAGGTTTCATATGTACATGAGTAACAGAACTAGCTTACATTTTTTGGTCGTATTTCATTATCGGCGGCACCTCGAATTGAGGGGTCTCTTGATTCTTTTGTTCTGTTCCTTCTTTCGTGACAGATAATTGCTTAATTTTACGGCATTGTCGAGCGTTATGCTTCGGTAGTCTACCTTGTGGTCTTGCGTAGTAACCACTTTTCCAAGCTGCCGTACATTCCGCTTGTTTAACAGTATTAATGTCAACTGGTTTCGGTTGTTCTTTTGTCAAGACAGCCATCTGAGCCGAATTGTGAGAGAGGCACAAGCATAACACATCCAACATCGGACGAAAGAAAAATAAATGTACAATTGATGTTTTTTAATGAAAGTTCTTTGAAGGGAATAATATTTTATTAAATATCATTCAAATTTTTTGATAATTTTATATTTATTTTTATTTTCATACAATATAAATTGTAAAATATATATGCGGTGTATATATATAAAAAAAAAAAAAAAAAAGATTATTCTAGTATAATTGGCCTAGAGAATTTTTTATGATAGTTGGGTTTTTTAAAAAAAAAAAAAAAAATTTGCTTTGAAGTCGAAAAAGTCAGCCTAGATGGTGGTGATATATATATTTGTTGAAAAAATTGAGGGGCTTTTTTTTATATTAAGTAATACGAAATAAATCTCTAAAATAAGTTTGTCATATCGTGGTTAAATTTTGAGAAACCAATGCAAATCCTGTTGGCATAAGTTGGCACATCATCTTTTACTTTGTCTTCTGTCCTTCACATGTTAAAATCACCATAGTATCACCATATCATCATCATAATGTAACATATATTTACACTATACTTACTCTAAAAAAATTATATTTTATTTATATTACCTCGGAAATCCTCCCCCCCAACCACAAAAAAAAAAAAAATAGGAAAATCACGAATTATTTACAAAAGATTTTTAAAAAGGCAATTTCATGAACGTTTTGTGACAAGTTCAATGTAAACGCATGTGGTATTCTGTCTTTTGAGAATTTATCACGATTTTTTTTTGAATTAGGAGCGTCCATCATTCCGAAGTAAAAAGATTACTTTTTTAACATTCATGTGTTCCTCTCGGATATGAACGATGTAACACCACCACAAGGAAATAAATATTGTTTGATTTATATTGTAAGGGGAGGAGGGATCGATCTTCAAAAATATATATATATATATTATATCCAACCATAAAGACAAAGCACAAAAGTGTCAAAAGCACGTTTTCGATGGTATCATCTGAATAAAAATAGGTATTCTATTTATTTATATTGTGTACAAAATTTCTTTATTATATATCACAAAACATTAATTTATAAAAAATGAATTAATGATTACATTAAAAATTAATATTATCATGTTATGTGATATTTATTAATTATTATATTTAATATTGAGTTACCACTAAAAAAAAATATGGTAAAAAAAAGATTTTTACAGAAATAAAAAAAAGGTGACAGAGAACTTTTATTTGCTGTTTATGGTAGATAATTATGCCATTTATGAAATAAGTCCTAAAAGAGGGTTGGTGACATTAGCGTTTTTTATTAGATCCCAATATGGATACAGTTATATAATAATTTGGTCTGAGAAGGTTCAGTTGTAACCATGTTTAGACGTAAGTTTATCTAACCCTTAAAACTTTCTCACCAAGGCAAATAACTTTGTACTTTTTCTACAATGAACCAACATTTTATAGACATTCATTTATTGCTGAGGGTGGGTAGATAGGGAAAACGAAAATGGCGCCAAAGATTGTTTATTTTAGGTTCGAACGTTCGAATGATATCCACCAATAGATGATGTTCGAATATTACGCAATAATAAATATTCTTAGTTTCTTTGGAGTTGACATTTTTGTAGTTGGAATTTAAGAATTTTTCGGAATAGTTATCTGAGACCTAAAATTTTTATTCGGAAATATCGCATGTGGCACTTCCTGATAAATCGATCATATTCGAAACTGTAAGTGGTCAGTGCCCGGACAAAAAAAAGACCACAAAAATGTATGGCAAATTCCTTATCACTGAAAATTTTTTTGATTCAGATCAACAAAAAAAGATTGACATTCTGTCTGGTGATAATTCGGAGAGAATCTGTAATATGTCAAATAAAATCATTACATAATAATGCAATAATGCAATAAATGTATTGCACATCAAAAAATGATTATTTCGGGCATTTCTTTACTCTATTTAGGGTTACCCGTAGAAAATATTTAAAGAAATGAGGTGAGGGAAAAAAAAATTTGATTGCATTTTTTGTCTGCGATAAGGTAGAGGAATATTCTAAAGATATCAATGAATCAAAACATTCCCATAAGCCATTGCGTTCTAGCCATACAAGGTAATATGTTTAACTGATAGGATTTTGTAATTTTAACGTTATCGGGTATTCCAGAAATCATGATACATTTAAAAAAATTTTTTTTCATCTAAAGGTATGAATTCGTCTTTTTCTAAATTGGTTTGACACGTTTTAAAATGATTTGGTCTGCAAAAGTGATCTACACATCAAAGGAAATTAAGCTTTACCTTCTCATTAATAAGTAGAGATGCCGCAATCATGTAATTCTTGCAGGATTAGTATAAGATTAATAAATAATCACAAATGCGGAAAAAATCGGGAAAAAATCGGGCTGTTCATTAAAAATCCATTCAAATAACGCATGGATTGATTTACGTGACATTTATTATATTTAAAATTTGCTCGATTGAGGCGCAGCATCTTAAATTTGGAGAATCATCTTTACAGTAATAGCGATAAGAAATTAGTGATTGAGGAGAGTTCAATCTCTTTTTTAACGAAAACCATGATTGGATTGATTATAGAAAGGAAAAAAAATTTTTTTTTTGATCTTTTTGATAAAAAAATCTTTTTTCATGAGAAAAAAAAAATACTTGTAGGAAATGAATGTATATGAAAATATATTTGATTATGTTGTGTGATTACAAAAATTAAATTTGTGATATAAAACCAAGCAAATGATCTTATCGATTTTATGTTATACGACTATCAAAAAATTTACCCTTCATTAAATTATAAAGAGATGTTCTTTTTTCATGCAGGGATGAAATTTATATTAATGTACAATAAATTATGATTTTTATTCATTTGAAAATTTTTTTTTCCTACATTTTTTTTTCGAGGGAAACTTGTTTGATTCATGTTTGAAAACTTTTCGAACCAATAATTTATAAAATCTTTCAATGAAAAAAAATCTTGATTATGTGTGAACAGTGCGAGCATTGTTAATTTCACAAAATTTTTAATTAAATATTACAATAAACATTAATATTATTGTGCGTTTAAACAAACAAGTTTTAATCCAGAATGCGAAGCAGGATTTCGTGAAATTTTTTTTTTCCTTGGGATTGTAATTCGAGAAATCATATGAAAATCGGGTGTTGAACATTAATTGGTCCACCTGAAATTTGATTTTCATGCTATTTAATTAGCAACAAATGATAACTTGTTTGACTAACAAAAATTTGTTCTTTAATTGTTAATGAAATAATTTTTTCACATGTCATTTGTTGTCCAATTTTATTACGTATCACATTTATTGTGTGAAAGGTGGTAAATTTTGCGCCCTTGAAATCTTTTTATTAAATTGTCTTTTATATCATTATTCAAAATTCGGGCCGGTGTTATTCGAAATTAATGGATTTGTGGATACTATGAGAATTTTTCTTCGGGGTTGCATGAATGAGAGATTGATTAAATTTTATCGGGAATTCATATTTCAGGAAATGATTGATTTTTTCTGTTAAATTAGAGTTACTGTTTAATGTAATGTAATGTTTACAAAACCGGCGAGGTAAATCCGGTGATACCTTGATATTATTATACTGTATGTGTAATGATGGAATGATGCGGAACTGTTTTTTTTTGAAAATAAAAAAAAAACCTTTTTTTTTTACTTTCAAAAAATTTATTTTATGTTCTCTCTTTTTGGTCTTTCGTTTCAGTCGAATATGTATCCCTTAATAGATTTACTGTATTTTTTTTAAAGAAATGGTTTATTCCTAGCTTCGTATCATACAAAAAAGTTACAAAAACAAGTTTTCTTTGTTCCTTTTAACAAATTACCTTTTCTTCTTTTCTAGTTTGTTTTTTTTCGATTATGAAGAGAAAGAATACTCATTTAAAAGAACAAAGAAAAATAATCGACGATTGTTTAAGGATAAATTACATTTGATTGTTAAATGTATTTTGCCGTGAAGTTTGCTTTCTTGTTTATATATCAGATGAAAATCATTTAACAAAATTCTTTGAGACAACTTTTTTTTCCTGGAACAGCAGAGGCTGAACAAACTTTAAGAAAATAAGCTTTAGAATAAAGCTTTATTTAGTATAAATAAATTATCTTATCAAGGATAATTAAAACTTAAAGCATACCCAACGTTACACGGCCTTAATTAAAAAATGATTTTTTGTGTATTTCTTTGTATATTTTTTTTTTCTTCAAGAATTTGATGAATTAAGATTCAAAATTTTGTACATGCAACCGAAATAGTCGAGTGATTTGAATATATGTTACTTCCTTCTTCGCTTTTAATCTTTGACGTGATTCAATATGATTGCAGATGAGTTTCTTTTTTTAGTTTTCAATTATTTTTATTTTTATTAATTTTTTTTTTTTTGACCCGCGGTATGGTGCAAAAATTCAAGGGTTAACTGTCCGAACACGGATAATTGAATGTATCTTAAAAATCATTGGATGAAATTTTCCAAATATGTAAAATCTTCAATCATTCCTCTTTTCTGTAAAGATTTGTATCGCTGTATTCCGTGCCGCATAATCCAGTGGTATCGAGCCGATGATCTCAATGTGCCTTGCACAGCCGACATTTTGGCACCGAATTTAGACTGATGGAATTCTGCTCTTCATCTATTGTATAAGAATTTACATGTTCTTTTGCATAGATTTACCTTCATATTCATCTGATAAAGAACCGTCAACACGATGTCAAAATTTTTTTTAAATTTTTTTGTGGAGGTTGCAAATGATATACCTATGAAGATCAACGTTGATCAACCAAGTATATCATCTTAAATCACGATGTTTTTTTAAAAAAAAATATAATCATATCATCAAATAAATTTAGAAATTCATTTTTTTATTGTTACATTCTTTTAACGTTAAATATTATTTTTAAAAAAAAAATAGATTATGCAACCATATTAATATGATATAATGATGTAATATGATTATCTACAAGTAGATAACTGATAGGGGGTTAAGGTTCGGTTATACAGTTCTTTTACCTGGTAATCACGTGTTCGACATAATTGG